TCCTTGCGGTTGCAAGGCAGGCCACTAAACCACTACACTAAATCCCCGGCCTATAAAGCTTCTTTCAGAACAAAGAAAAACACCAACCTACTCAGTTTGATGTTTTAATGAAGACCAGGTAAGTTTAGGTTAAAAAAAGGAGTAGCCAACTTCACTTATGACATTAAAGAATGTTAAGAAGTCAAATCTGGGGTTTTATTAAAAAACAACACATTGTGACATAAAACTAAATTTAATCATAAAACTGAGAGGATCATCTAATATTTTTTTAAAACTAGCATTTATGATATAAAAATGTATCTAATAATATGAAAGTTTTTTTGGATGAACTCGGTCCTTAGCAACCTTAGGACAGAAGGGGTGTTTTTCTGTTTCATTTTTTTTTTCTTTTTAGCTGGATGAACGCTAAATGCTTTCTGCCAAAATTCTCTAGCAGATGTCACTTTTAATGGAGAAAATATGTTTAGAATACAAGGATGTTGGTGTAGTTTTCAACACAGCACCAGAGAACAGATCTATGCATAAAGACAAAGAAGAAACAAAAAGTACAAACATTGAAATGAGGTATATAATCATGCTCCAATTCTTTCACTTATCTAATCCTCTCGTTCTAAGTCTAAACCCCCATGCTAAATGGTAAAGATGCTATATTGAAAAGCATATTCACTGCAAACATATTATGGGCTGCTTCTTGAAATTAATTTAATTCACATGAGTTAAAGGTGATACATTAATGACTACCACAAGTGGTCAGTTTGCAAGCTGTGCCTGATCCTATTGGGCTGCTGAATGTACCAATTGGGATAAGGGTTGTGATTGATTTAAAGAGTTGTTTTCTCTGATATTATGTCATTATTTTTTAATGAAATCACTTAAATAGAAAATCAAAGAGAATCAACAACAATTATTAGAAGTAGTACAGGAATTCAGTGTAGTTGCCAGCTATAAGGGCAATATATAAAAATCAATAGCTTCCCTCTGTATTGGGAGTAACCAGTTATAAACTATGATAATAATAAGATACCATTTATAAGAATGACATAAACTGAAAGTTACCTAGGGATAAATCTAAGATAGAATGCATAAAACATACAAGGGAAATTTAAAACTCTATTACAAGAGTTTTATTATAGTATTAAAGAATATAAATGCAGTGTTCATAAATGGCTTTATCGAATATTGTGAAGATGTCACATTTCCCCTCCATTAAAATTTAAACCCAATTCAGTCAACATCTAAACCCAATTCAGTCAACATCTAATCAAGAGTTTTTTCTTTTTAAAGGATTCAGTGTAAATTTATGTGGGGAGTAATTTTTTAAAAAAGAAAGATTCTATCTCTGTAAAGCACTAAGAGATATGGAACAGGAGCTGGAAAACTTCAGTACACAAGCCAAATCTAGAGCGTGCATGTTGCTGTAAATAAAGTTTTACTGATACACAGACACATCTACTCATTTGCATATTGTCAATGGCTGTGTTTATGCTCTGGTGACAGAACTGAGCAGCTGCAACAGAGACTGAACCCTACTGCATCTGTTCCTTTTCATAAAATATTTAGTGAGTTCTGTTCTATAACATCTGGCCTAGAATCCAAATGAAAGAGTCTAGACTCGTTTCTATATACATTCGGATACTTGTAATCATTCTCTGGAATTCATACAAGAAAATTGGCTCACAAAAGAAAAAAAATGAAGATGTTTTCATACTTATAAATAAATCTACAAGTGGGATAAATACCTATTAAAAGTGAAAATGTATGTGATAGAAGAAAATACAGGCATATATTTTTGCAGCGTTATGGTAGAGAAGGTTTTGTTAACATAAGATTCACCATGCACAAAGTATAAAACGAAAACCAATGAATTTTAACACATCAGAATGAATGCTTTTTGTTCAATTGTGGAAATAACAGAAAAATTAGCAGATAGTAAAAGTATAGTTGTCATGCTTAATAGACCAGTCAATACATAGAATATATCATGGTCTTTGGAAAACTAGAAACTACAAGGGAAGTGACCGGAAACAAAAGAGGACCGATTGTCCTTCTAAAAATAGAGAATTTGTAGAAGGAGAACCATACATACATCTCTATTACAAAACAGATGAATTAAGAGGAAGAGATGCCTTTCTACAAATCAATCAGTAAAAGCTAGAAAAGCAGATACTATGAAGTGCTGGCAAGGATGTAGGAAAACAGAAATCCTCACATATTGCTGCTTGAAATGCGAATTGGTACATTTCAGAAAAAGACGTATGTGTTCAGAAACTCCATAATGGGCTGTAGTTTATGTATCCAGGGAAATTCACATAAGGATGGCTGTCACAGTGTTATTTGTGACAGAAGATTACCATCAGACTAGCTCATGAGTATTCGAGAGATGGACAAAAGAAGCTACCATGAAATGCAGTGAGAAGGAACAAGCAGCGTGGAGGAGTAACAGAAACATCAGTCAGTCGTGATGCTGAGAGAACATTTTACAGTGATATTTAAAAGATACAATTTACGTTTATAATTATAAAAATTTAAAAACCTCATGTAAGAGCTCTAGATGTTTCGCATGAAATACATGTACACAAACATATAAATGGGATTCTAAATTGTACTTTAATTGTGAAAAAGTGAATCACCCGAGTTGGGAGGGATGGCCGTGGTCCTGAGCATAGAGGATGAAAAGAAAAGTGAAGTCCAGAGAAGAGCCAAGACGGCATCCAGATAATAATAACTCTTCCACTAGAGCCTGCGCCTGTCACATCTGGACTGTTACCCATACAGGGAAGCAGACTCCAGGGTCGTTGCTCCTTCTAGCATTAGCATTGTCGATGTCAGTGTCCTACTGATGACGTCTAGATTTCCGTGTCGTGGTTCCATTTGCCTCAGTGATAACTGTAATAAAACTTGAGGGAAGTCTCGAGTTGTTTCAGTTTCATGCTGTACCAGCTTGGCAGCTCAGCTGAAAGGACCCGTGTTAGCCTCAGCAATAATCGACTGGAGTGTACCCTTGTCAGAACAAGTGGTGCATCAGAGGACGAAGGGGAATCCGTCCCTAAAGTTAGTTGTAGGGAATTCCTACATATTGGAGGTGGTGGAGTATTCTGCTCAAAATCAAAATGATGTGGCTGGGACTATGGGAAGTGGATGCTGGGGAGTTACTGGTGGTTTGAATCAGTGTGGTGTAAGAATAGTTAGCAAGATTTGCTATGTTTATTCTAAAACACGGAAGGAAATGAAGAAGGGTTAATTCCAGATACACAAAGCACTGACACTGACACAATACTTTTTTGATAATATCTGTTTCATGTGGCTCTAAGGAATAAATCACCTGCAAGTAGATGGCTTTGGTATGAAGAATGACTGGTATCGGTGGGTGCAGCTGCTGTCTTAAAAGAGGGTGAGCTTCCTGCCACGGGCCTGTTGGAGCCCATGGCAACCAGCTGCTTGACAGGGGTCCTCAGGAATGGGCCCACGGACTGGGAGTGCAGCTGCACGTGGATCAGCGATTCCTTGTCACAGGAACAACTTTTTAAAGCACACACTGCTGGCCCTTCTCTTAGAGTTTCTTATTCAGTAGATCTAGGGTGGGCCTTGAGAATTCACATTTCTGCTAAGTTCCTGGGAGATGCTGGTGCATCTAGCCAAGGAAATATACATTGAGAGCCATTGTGGTGGATGATTTTTGGTATCTTTACTCTACCTTCATTTTTATGAGAGAGTTGTAAGTGTTCTGAAAACCGCTATCTGTATCATTGAGAAAAACCTTCGCATGTTAGTTCTTGAGCACTGGAAATGTGTCAGGTTCTGCTCTTGAGTACATGTCTAGTAGAGAACATGTGTAGGTCTGTCTGTGGTTTGTGTCACATAAGACACTGGGCCCATTAAATGATTGTGCATGGATGGTGTATTCCATAAAGCAGTGAGGTATTTTCTGATCTCGTCGTCTTTTTCATAATTGTATCTTTTTCCACAGGTTGATCTACATGTCTTAGTTTTCTAGTGGGCTGTTCTTGAATTAGAAATATGAAGTAGTGCCAGGTGTGGTGGTGCATGCCTGTAATCCCAGCACTAGGGAGGCTCAGGCAGGAGGAGAGCTGGAGTTCGAGACCATCCTGGGCTACATAGTGAGTTCCAGGTCAGTCTCAACTACATCGTAAGACCCTGTCTCAAAAACAAAAACAAAATCACAAAATAAAAGAAACACGAAGTAGTTTCTCAGGGAGGGTGTGTCTGAGTGATTTAGAAAGTACCTTTTTGATGACTAGGGATTGCCAAACAAAAAATAATTTCTTGGTGATGAATGGATTTGGTTTAACATAGCTTGTAAGTCTCACATCTCTCTTCAGCTCCCTTTTTGAGGCTTTCCCTGAAAAGGAGGATATTAAGCAATTCATGAACCTTTCTGTATCCAGGCTGCGTCAACCAGGAATTGTTCATGTCTCAAATTCCAATTTGCTCCTTTCTTCTTTTTTTGCTTTAATTTTGAAAATTTACTAGACTAGTTCTCTGGAGGTGCTTGTATGCTTTTATAATTGTAGGCAAGGTCAGGCACTGTTTGTACTTGTTCTAAATTGCTGCTATATAAACAAAGATAAAACCATTTGAGGGAAACACTTAAGAATTAGGTTTATAGTCAGTACTTAACAATGAAAATTTTCCGCTTAGCAAAGATGACAAAAATGAATGGGTAAAAATAAGTGCTTGACAAATAGGGCTTGTAGTTTGGAAGTGGCACCTGGATGTGGAAGGATTTAAACATGAAAGGCTGTTGAGTTGTTCATGTGCAAATTCCTGCTTGAAAAACGTGCTCAGATTGAGGCAGGGTTGTAGGGGGAGCAGAGTACTTGGGACAAACCTAGAATTCATCTTGGTGAATAATAAATGAGTCATTAAAATGGCATCTGTTTGCAACTAATAATCTGCACTAATGGAATTTGCTTTCTTTAAAGTGGTACACAAGCTGGGTTTCTTATTAAACGTCCATTTCCTAAATTGATTTCTTTCAGGCTTCAATCGTGAGGAAATGTCGTTCAGATTTGGCCAGCATCTCATCAAGCCCTCTGTGGTGTTTCTCAAAACAGAACTGTCCTTCGCTCTTGTGAACAGGAAACCTGTGGTACCAGGACGTATCCTTTTCTTTTAAGAGAGGCAAAATGAAGTCTTCGAATGTAATCAACCCAAAGAATTGGAGGATTGGCCCCTGATGTTTGTCCTAAAAAGTAAATAAGGAACCCAGCTCCCTCTTCCTTTGGACAGCCCAGGTAAGCTGTTACTCACATTTATTTTGAATCCAGTTGGTGGCACCAGTAATATGCTTGATCAGTGTTGCAGAACTTCTGAAAAGAGTTGCTTAGCAACCGTGGCTTTGGAGGTGAATTTTTGCTTGACCTTTTCACTCCCATAGCTGTGTAAATAAATAGGTGTTTCTAAAATTGGCCCAATGAATATCATGGACACTTTATATTCATTGTGAATTTTAATGGTACGTTAGCAATTGGATAGCAAATTTGTGGAGTGGAATTAAGGTAATATGCACTAACTTTGTTCTTTATCTCTTGTGAAGATCATTCAGTTATTAGTTTTAGTTAAATTCATACATGTAAATTTTTAAATAATTTTTTGCATGTTGGCATCTAAAATGGCCTTTTCTCTTTGTGCAAACCCTGGCATCTAGGCCATCGTACTGTGTTTCTGTCAGTAGGTAAAGTCTATATCCATTGGAAGAATTTGCACAGACCTCAGTAGGGTCCGTGCTCTCTTTTGCAGTGGGAATTGCAGGAATTGTTGAAATGCTCTGGAATAATTTTCGTGTTGTTGGAAGTATCACTTTTTGACCGTGTACATGTAAATTTTGTAATGACTCTCTAGCACTTTCTTTGATTTCTTTCCGTTGTATTTTTCTATGCAGGGGGCAACAAGAGTAAAATTTCGTATTTTAAAATAAAAGATATTTTCTACACTGAGACATGATTTGATTTTGAAACAAATTTCTTAGTAATTCTGAGGGTACAAATATGCCAAAATTATTGCAGAGTAAGTTATATTTTTTCAGCAAGCCAATTTAGAGTACTTAAGAACTTTCTCAATGATCTTTGTTTCTAGCCATGTAACCATTATATTGTGGAAAAATACAAAAAAATTGCAAAAAGATAGTTGTAACTATATGGCAGACTCCTAAATTTCTTAAATACAAATTTAACTAATTAAATTTTATAAACTCACAAAATTAGTAATTAAGCAATAAATTAGTAAATAATGTTATAGAAACTCTTTTCATAGCATTTAAAACTCCTCTTTAAAAATTTTAAAAGTAAAATTAAGTCTAAATATTCAATATTAGACAATGACATTGTTCTATTTACTGAAGAAAATGGGAAAAAAACTAGACTGACTTAAAAAAATTCCATGAAACAACACTGTGGAAGTTACATGTCAATGCTATATTGAGTTCTAAAAGTTCCAAGGCTCTGGAATAACAGCATTTTATTTCATGTTTAATTCTGCTGCAAGTTTGTGGTGGTCTTTTTTCTCTTGAGAACTTTTTCTTAAAACAAATGCCTATAGATTTGAACGTCAAAAATGTATGGTTTAGGGGTGGGGATTTAGCTTAGTGGTTCTGCTGCCTTCCTCGCAAGCCCAAGGTCCTGAGTTCAATCCCCAGTACCAAAAAGGGGGGGTTATAATTTAGGTGCTTTTTCCTTTTGTCATGCCAGCTTAGTTGACTCTTAAGAAAGAACTAAGGGAACCTGGGATAAAAATGAAAATTCAGATGATTGAATCTTAATGTCTCAAACTAAGAAAAGGTGAGATTGCAGATATGTACTTCCTTTTTAATGGTTAGTAATAGAATTAACTTTGCTTTATGACTTTTTACTTATATCTTCTTACTAACTTGATTTTCATGTTTTTTTCAACCAACTCTGAAAGTGTTTTATTTAAGAACTAGAGTATTTGTAAGAGGGAAACAAAAAAATAACTATAGTAAATTGTTATATTTTGGTAAATGATGACTAGTATTTTTCCACATGGCCCTGAAATTGCCTTTGGAAGTGAATCCTAATTAGTTACCATATTTTTAAGTAAATGCCAGGACATTGAGAATATTTTATTAAAATTAACAAACATTTTTTTATGAAGATGAGAGTGCGGATATTTTGTAATCAATGTACTCTGAGGCTATCTCATGTCTGTTGTTGCAAATGGTCTCAAGGCCAGTAGATAATGCATGCAGACAACCCTTTTTCCATGAAGATTTTGTAACTTTTTTTGGTTTTTTTTTGGTTTTTTTTTTGTTTTTTTTGAGACAGGGTCTCACTATGTAGTTGAGACTGACCTGGAGCTCAGTATGTAGCCCAGGCTGGTCTCGAACTCACAGTGATCCTCCTGCCTCAGCCTCCCAAGTGCTGGGATTACAGGCGTGAGCCACCACGCCCGGCCGATTTTGTAACTTTTTATTTTCCTTTACCTTTGTAAACTCAGTTAGGTTCCACTGTGAGAAGCATCTTAATAGGGTACTCATTTGCTTGCACAAAGCTGGAGTCTTTTGTCCTGGGATTTAGGAGTTGAAGCTCTGGGTAGCTCTGCCCACTAACATTTTTAAAATAAGCAGTGAAATGTCTGGATTGAGCCTTTATCTTCCTCCAGTGTTCAGTCCTGCCTGCCCTTGTCTAGTCTTTTTGCAGCCTTCCTGAGTCTGGGCTTTTCCAGTCCAGCCTTTGCCCCACTCTAAACCACAGCTCTCTGACTGTATCAGTCTTCTGATCCCTTGCTAGTAAATCATTAACGATCATATTATTTTTTCAAGTCCAAACTCTTTAGCATAGCTTTAAAAATCTTTCATGTTCTTGCCTCGGTTTGCCTTTTTCCGGCTGTATCCTATGTGTGTGTTATACTTCTTTACCCTATTTTCCCCTGCCACTCTGGACCTTGAGATTCTCACCCTTTTGATTTCTACCAAGGGGTTTGATAACGATTCCTGCCTTTCAGGAAAAAAATGTTTTGTCCTGTGGGACACTTAGTGCCTCATCCTGGATTTATGCTGATTCACTAATGCTCTCCCTGAGCTCGTACTCTCTTCCAGACGCGGTGTCAAACACTTGTCCTCCCTGGTTTCACATCAAGATCTGTACTTTCCTTTTGTCTTTCAGAGAACCGCTCCATCCTGAGTGCGAGGCCTGCTTCTGCATACAGTAGCTCTTTTTTATTAGCTGCTCAAAATGTTATTACAACTGAAATGAAAGTGAATTTTGAAGTGCCAGGATTATATCAATTTTTTTAAATTAATGGAATTCAGTAATGAGAGTTTGCTTAATAACTGACTTTTCTATGATCCTATGCCCAAAATGTCACCATTTTATCTCACATATGTTAATATTATGTTCAAACTGTACCTTCTGAACTTTCCCTTCAAGATTTGTCACTCACAAGCCAGTTTACAATTTTGTTAGGCGCGTACAGCAGAATTGATGGAAAATGGGAAAAGATGCTTTGCATTTCTTTCTGCATGTTAATTTGCCAGTGGACAAATTAGTATCTTAAGACTAGTATACTGGCATGTTCATGCAAAATGCAACATTTTGCTTTGTGTTTTTGATTCTTTTTAAAAATAGTATTCACATGGCCTTTGGGGAGCATGCCATTCACGAGTGACTTATAAATGTTTTCTTTGAACTTGTGTCCTTACGAACATTTTGCTGTCTCCTTCAACTGTTTTTATTTTTTTCTTACGACTTTGCTCACTGACCTTTTCCATAGCTCTCAGAATAGGAGATGAACTGTCAGATCAGGGGCCCAGAGAGGTGCTCTTGCAGCAAGACTCTTTGCTTCATTCTCAAAAGAGCCACTTTAGTCCCTCCTTGTCCTCATCTAAACCAAACACTTCCGTTCCTTGCCAACACAGTTTAAAGCTGATTGAATGGGCTCTGTAGTGCAACACTCTGGAAGAATATATCAGAATGTCTGTAATCCGTTAATTTCTTGCTACTGGAAAATACTCTTCAGAGTTTCTTGGTAAGGGAATAGAATCATTTTATAGAGTATGTCTTCAGAAATTGGCAGTGAACATTTTATTCATGTGCCTCAGTACAGCCCAGCCATTCTTCATGGCTTAAATAAATTTGAGCCATTATGGGTAACTCTTCTTACTTCCCTCCCCTTACATTGTTCTGTGTCTTCCTTGCTTCTTGAGCTGAGCATGAAAAATGAATTTGAACATGAGTAGAATCCATTTGGGGAGTGGGGCTTTTATTGTAAATAAAATTATTCATTTGTTATGTCCTGTTGTTTTCAACAGACAGTGTATTGATCTTTGTGTTGCTGTTCAGAATGGCATAAGGATCCTTAGCACGCGGGAGACATTGCAGTGCTTGTGGATAGATTGACTGTGGTGTATAATGAAAGAGACAAACTTGCTCGCTGGTCCTACTGTATTATACAAATCGTTCGTCAACAGATTATTGAATCGGTTATTAAAGAGACCAGCTTTTTTCCGAACTGGAGCTTCTCATACAGAATGTTATCAGGGCCAAACAATGCTAGGATGATGCATGGAGGTTGCCTTGCAGAGTATATTTGTGAGGAATTAAGGTAGGCAACTTAAAGGGCATTTCTGCTGATGCATTAGAAACAAAAAGTTTAGTACAGTAAAACTGCTGTAAGAGCTAACCTCAACAGATGGAAAACAAAACCCTTGATCTATCTTTTTAATGAATTTTTATCAGTACATTTGTACTAATAATGATGACTGCATTCATTGTGGCCGTTTGGTACATGCAAATGTCTTTTAATGCAAAATGTTACCTTTGCAAATCAGTGATACTCTTTTCAGATCATCGCTATGTCTAGTATTCCTGAAATAAATGAAAAACTAATAAAAATAGTTTCATTACTTAACAACAATTCTTGTGGAATAGATAAAAATGCCCTTTTAGTTCTTCGTGAAAGTCAGCGATATTTGTCATTTCCTGAGTGGGGTGCAATCTTGTGAATTCCTTTAATTGTTCAGGAAACCACACTTATTAGTGATCTGATGATCTTTCTTCATTTCTGAACAGTGTTTCTTTTTAAACCTTCCTGCTCAAATGAAATGAGTGCAAGCACTATTTTAATGTCTTTCTCGCTAAAGATA